CCTAACACTACCTTGGCCTCCCCCGGGTCTGCAGGCAGTTGAGAGGGCCCCCCGCTTTGCGCCGCCTCGGGGGTCCACCCGAAACCGCCTTGGGCTCGCCCCCGCAGCGTCACTACTGCGGCCTCCACCGCCAGTGTCAGTGTGGGGGCATAGAGCGGCACGGGCAGGGGGGTTGGCTGTACACTCAGCACAGCCAGTGCCTCCACCCCTGTCGGGGCCCCTCCTGGGGCCCCCTCAAGCGGTGTCAGAGCCGCATCCACGGGGGTCCCCAGCGCAGCATCGCGAGCGTCGCTTAATGGGGTGCCGGCCCCCGCCTCCTGCCCCTCTTTGGGTTTAGAGTCAAACGCATGCGGGCTGGCTGGCTGCCCGCGTGGGCCTGGAGAGCCCACAGCAGCAGCAGCAGAAGCAGCAGCAGCAGCAGCAGCAACTGCAGTAAGCTTGTTTGCAACTATCAGGCGGCGGTGCGCCCGCGAGAAGATAGTGCCGCCACCCCCACACAAACACGGCAGTAAATCAAGGCGGCTGCTCCGCAGCGCGCAGCCGCCCGGGGCCAGGACCTGCAAACAATAGCACCAACCCCACCCCGGCGCTGTCGATAAAAGAGAGAGCAAGAAGAGCCGTTGGTGCATGCATGCATGCATGCGCAGCGAGACACACAACACAGCCCCAGCCTCAGCCCAGCTTCTCCCGTCCTTTGCCTCTCTTGCCGCCCCCACCACCCCCGCCAGCCTTTCCCAGTTGCTATGCTTTATTAGAACAACAGCATTTATTTTTCCTCTTCGCCCTCAGGTTAGTGCTGAGGCCCTACAACACCAACCTTCTATAAGAATTAAACTATCCAGAGAAATACAAACAACCACATCATTATGTACGCCTCAGGCGGCCCCCCCCAGAGCAGCAGCGCCAAAAGGAAGAGCACAAACAGCAGCAGCAGCAACAGCAGCAGCAGCAAGAGCAACAGCAGGGCGCTGGGGGCGACCCTGACTGCAGTCTTCAACACTTCTTCTTGTCGGCTTACCACGGGGTCCAAGGGATGCGGCTGCTCCGCATATATGGCGATGCGCCCTCCTCCCCCCGCAGCGCAGAGGCCCCCTAGGGCCTCGGGCAC